TGTGGTTGGCATATTACAAGGATTACTTACAGGCGCTGTTTTACCATAAGCAGAGCATCGCGGTAGAGGCTGAGAAAATCGTATCGAACCCTTCAGCACTTGCTGATACCCCAACGTCGAGCAAAAGACCTCTTGCCGTTAAAAAAAGAGAGATTACTGATACATGAGTGGTTGATCTGAGTATCTAACTTTATACATTTACGACCATGCAGACATTAATTTACAAACATCAGCACACGTGGTATATCCTTACGGTATAGCGTATTCAGCCCCAACATTTCACGCGTCCTGCTCTCACCACGACGCGCCTGCGGTCCCAAGCGCTTACCAAAGGTACGCTGGGGTCTTAGAAACGCGTGCGAGGTGTACCTGTGCATAGTGCATGCGCTATAATGCCGGCAGGTGTTCATTACCTGGCATGAGGTGAGGGCGATGTCGTTGCTGGTGCTTACGGTAAGTGAACCCCTGATCTCAGCCACGATAGTCCGTAGAGGATGCATCGGTTTCGTATTTGCTAAGTTAATAATCTGATGATTCAGCTGCGGTGGTTTTGCGTTCTTTGGCTCTTACGACGATGACCAAGTATGTAAGTAGTGACGGAAGACAAGATACCGCACTACATGCCGGTCATGTTTCGCCGCATATGTCCACGAAAGGATATCACTTAGGGGCGTATAATTCCAAAATACTTTAAAAAAGCGTTCTGTGCCTAAAGACTGTCAAACTACATACTACTGCACTAGATTTGCATGACATTTTTATTCTGCATCACTGGAAGCGCCATCGCAAACTGGGCAAACAGGTACAAAATGTTTCCATTGCCTTGTCATCCGGTAGTCAGGGAGGGCTCAAAGGTGCGGACGGGCCAACGAACATTATTGCGATCAATTTAAGTATATTGAAGTGGATGAAGAAGCACATTCCGATCTCTTATTTTCGGAAATGAGAGTGAGCTTAATTACTGTTCATTGCATCCTAAATTATTTGACGTCTTCAGGCAGCACAGACAAAAAGCCGGCATCCAACGAGCACCCCGCGACAAGTTTTTATACTACATCCCTGGATAGTAGTGGGGTTTTTCCACCACATCCTGACCTGCCGCGTCCGCTACCCTGCGGCCAGACACTTGGGCTAAGCTCGTTAGGCCTGGAAATCCCATGCCAAGCGATGGTCTGCGCAGATAACCCTAATACTCAGAAACGCTCGAGAATATGTGCCAAAAGATCCGTGACTTGGACAAGTTTTGATCGGCGATGCAAAAGTCCCCTGATTGGTCATAAACGATGCAGTGTTGCGTTGCAATGATAGGTTGACATGCCGTGAAAACGTCCAGCTGCTATTGGGCGTTCTATTGTGTCTGTTAACTTTTACCATAAGCTGATGAATGAACAGAGGCGAGAGCTACGATGGTACATTTTGCGGTGAGCACTTTTGAATGTGACAAAGTTTGGAATAGCATATGTTCATTTCGCTTTCAGACATTTCAACAAAATGATCATAGCTGCTTGCCGCCTCAGTGGGCATCGCGACTGAGGAGGACCATAAAATAGGAGCAAAACAAACAGGTGAAATCCAGTCATGCAGCCAAATACCAACGATACGCAGAAATGCATCCAACTATTTGGCAAGAGGCTAAGGTACTTAGACAGGTGAGATTAGACTATTCGATAAGACAGACATATGCGATTAGACAGACAGATCAGTGGCAAGTTAGAGGCGAAAAATGACGCTGATGGTCCCTTCAGCATATCGTATGCCTGATTTCGTTCCTGCCCATTAGATTACACACAAATAAGTTGCTCAACACATGTATGCATATCGGACGTTCTTCCATTCAACATTAACGAAAACGGCATCAAAATCTTCGAAATAAGAACCCCTTATTACCCATCCAGGAGACACCCAAGACTTTCCGTTCAGTCTTAACCCTTAGATATGTACGATATCCGGACACGGCAAGGTGAATAGCGTTTGTCCCATGGAGATCAGTGATGTTCCCGAAACATACTAAATACTTAACATACTACAACCACAAGTATAAACATAAACTAAATTAAAACCATCACTAACAATACTAAAACTATCACTAACGACACTAAAACTAACATAAACAAAACCAAGACTAACATAAAAAACTAAAAAATACTACTTCTACTACAAATATAAAAGTAAATATAAACATAATAGCTACATACTAAATACGGGCACAGTGATATTCCAGAAACATCCCAAATTCCGCATTATATTTTTCCCCGGCCACCTATATTTTCGTCCATTTCCAATGTGCGAAAGTGTAAATGAGAATCTCATTGGGACAAATCGCATGGGGTTTATAACAGGAAAATCGAACAAATGATTTCCTCGGAATCTGTGGGAAGGTATAATCTGTTCTATCCTGCACATCAGAGTAACTTCTGCAACTCGCAGAGAATAGGACTACTGCGTTCTTTTCGTTCTTTTCAGCTGCATCAAATGCATGCTATTTGTCTTTTATGCAGGGAGTAGAGCTGTGTCAGGACCTATATGATCTAGATCAGATAGTATCCGAGGTATCAGCACAGGTCACCTGAGCCCATTTACGACCTCGATCCCACGTCATCAATGATGAGGGTTTTTAATAGGCGATAAGCTTGAGTCAGTTGGGGTTTCGGTTGGGGATGGGGTTTCATCCCTGGTCTTTTGTGAGCTATGTTGTCATGGACATTGTACTAAAAAAAAAACGAAATGATAGGTGAAAAACGTGATGTGACCTTCAGGGGTCCCAGCCTAAAAAGTGGAACCGAATGGAAGCGTAGAATCATTATTAGGCTCTGCCGAGACACGTCAGCAATCGCATACGTACGCACACGTGAGTGCAAACGTCATACATGCCAATGCGTTCTGTCACTGGACCGTTTCAACCGCGATATCCTTTATCATAGTGAGGTGGCGGTAGGTTCCTGTCCGTGCTGGTTTCAAAATACAGACTTCAACGTTCAAAATGGTAAAAAATCTGCGCTTTGTGCTTCATAACTGAAGGATACCGACCGAAAATGTGTACTTTTGTTGTTGAGGGGCCTTGCTTTTGTTCATGTAATAAACCGAAGAACGGGCGTGACCGTTTTGCTGGACTCTGCAGTGTGCATCCGTCCAATGGCACGAGCGAAAACGTCGAGAGCGCGAACAAGGCGGGGCCCGACTTCCACGAAATCTCTCTTGCCAGTTCGCGTCATATCTCCGATCATTGTCTGTTCATCTCGCCACCACAGCGCGCCATTCGTCGTCAGACTCTGCAGAAACCGCGTCACGCCTGCTCAGCACGAAACAACTCGCTCTGAGCGCTCTGGGACGCTGACGACTCCGCGATGAGCGCAGCCAGGTGTTTCCGTCAGCGATTGAGAACGGACAGCGCAGCCGCGCGATCCTCTGCATGGTTCCAACAGCCTCTGATCCCCGTTTGCCTCCCCTCCTCATCAGGTCAGCGCTCTCCACTGTCAAACGCAGCGCGCTTTCGGTCCGGCTTTATGTACAAAACAACCAACATCACTCGGCGCTGGGCGGACGCCCGGTGAGTAGAAAAACACAGGCGTCCCACATGGTCATTAGAGTAAAATTTGAGCGCAGAGGCAGTAGGCAGACGAGTCAGGCCCCTCAGGGCCTTCTCGGGAGCCCCGCACAGGCCTCGCACATTGCCGGAAGCGAGGCCCGACGGCGCGACAGACAACCAGAGGCCGGAGCGGGCCGAGGCTGAGGCGGCGGCGGCCGGTGCCCGGCCGGGCGCCGACGGCGGCCGCTCCTAGAGCGGCTCGCCGCACCGGCCGGCCGCGCGTTACTACTCCGCCGTCGCACCCGTCGCCGCGTGCCCGGCCACGCACTGCCCCCAACGGCACACACTCCACTCCGTGTTACCTGTACAACAACGTACGTACCCTAACGGCGCGCGCTCGCGCGGCCGACGAGCGGGTGGACCACCCGCCGATTCGTTGATCACTTCGGCCGTCTCGGGGACGGCCGACGACTGAACACACCCGAGCACCGAGCCCACACGGACCGCCGTCTGTGCGAGCCGGGCGCGCCACGCCGACTCGACGGCACCGCCAACGGCTCCGGTGGCACTGATCGCCGCTGAGGTGCTCACCCGCCGACCGGCCCCACCTCAGGGCGCGCTCGGCGGTCGCCCCAGACGGGCTCGCCTTCGCAGCCAGCCAGCCGGCCGGCGCGACGGCGCACCCCGGCAAGTGGTGAGGCGTAGAGCTGCACAATGCGCTTCGCTTACAAGCGACGCCGGCGAGCGTGGCTGCCGAAGCCGGAGTAGAACATCCCCGGCGATCAGACCGCGCTCCGCGGAGGCGTGTGCCAGGACCGTGTTCGCAGCGCGTTTGATGTGCTCGTGGCGAACAGCCAGACCGTCCGCTCGGCGCGCTGCACTGCGCGTGGGGGGCGTTGTCTAGATTCGGAGCCGTCGGCAAGGTGTGAAGTGCCCGATCCGTGGCTGATGAGTGTACCGGACGGGACACCACGGCGCGTGCGACGAAAGCCCTGCTCGTGGCGTGCCTGACGAGCATTTTCCGTTCCCTAGCCAACCCGCACGGGTGTGGAACACCCGCAGAGACCGCAAACGGTAGCCAATCCGCACGGAAACCAGACTGCAGTAGACCCGCACAGGCACCAAGCTGCACTAGACCCTCACAGGCACCAGGCTGCAGTAGACCCGCACAGACACCAGGCTGCAGAGGACGCTCACAGGCACCAAGCTGCTTAAAGACCCGAAACGGCCACCGGGCTGCAGACGGCGCTCACGGAAGCCGCGCTGCGATCCACCGCGGGCTACGGTCCACGCAGAAGCAGATTTAAACCGTACCCCAACTGCAGCACTCCCGGACGCCAGCACAGCACCGGCCGCGCCGCGCCGCAGTTCACGTGCGGCGGCGCCGGACCGCCTCCAGCCGCGATAATCACCTGCTCCGATGCCCTCCCGGCCCCCGCGGGCCCCGCCCCTCCCCAGCTGCCGCCGCACCGGCCTCTCCCCGCCCCATCCGCGCCACACTCAAACCATGCCCACGCCGCCAGCCCGTTCCGACCGCAGCGCGCCCTCCGCCGGCGCGCCCCGGCGGCGGCGGCGCTCGCCGGCCCGGTCTACATCTGCACCCGCGACAGCCGCGTCTCCAGCTCGCCGATCAGCTGGTCGGTGCGCTCCGACTGGCCGCGGAACTTGCCCGGCTCCGGGCCGATCATCTTGATCAGCTGCGGCACGTCGTTGTACGACACCTGGCCGGGAGGATAGTCATTAAATTAATCATTTAATTTCATTAATTAATAAAATTATTAATCATAATGCATGATATACATCAAATACATCATGCCATAATAAAATCATTTATCATCAAAGATTAAAGATCTTTTCTTACTTGAGAACAATACATTAAAGTTTAATGTAATATTCTCAGATAAAATAGTAGAATCTGACGTAAGAAAACGGCTTCGTGGTCCAGGACACTTTCGATACCCAGGTAGTTTCAAACGGGGGGAAGGGGCCACCAGACGTTCAATAACCAGTCGCGCATGGATTGTCGACCTGTTGAAGTCCACAACCCACGCGCGCCCTGTACCACCGTGAGTGACGTTCTTGCGCCTTCTATGAAACACTTCACGGAGTTCCCCAGGCTTCAAGCAATACAAGCATACAACAGCGAAAAGCGAACATACGGAAAAGTACCGCTCATACCCCGCATGACGTCCCCACTGAAGTCGCGTTCACCATCTGCCGGAGCGTTTACCCTACCTGAGCAAATTTGGCCAGGGCGCGCATGCAGCGGTACACGCGCTCCTCTGGCGGCGAAGTCTGGAAGTATTGCAGGATCGCCATGGCCAGCTCCGTGGCCACGTCGTCGAACACCTGGCGGCCGAAAATGAAAGCACCGCTGTGACTGCTGACAACAGGTGGCTAACCGATAGACCGGGGGAAAACAGCGCAGGGAGATGGGCAGCCCTTGAAATCACGCATCGTTTGTTAATGGCGAAAAGAAAGACACTGTACTTAAAGCGTTTATTACAAATGAATATCACAGGCATAAACAAGACACGAGCATGCTACTAAAATTTGCTTTCGGCAAATGCGCTCAAGCTGAACAGCGAAACAAACTTGCCAGACGCAATAGCACTACAGAGTCTTAACGGCTCGCACCCGCCCAGCCACTTACCTTGTTGAGGCTTCCCATAGGCATCAGCTTCCGCATATTCATGTTAGTTTTCATTTTCTGCGGGTGAGAGCAAACCAAAGGCGGAGTATCGGGTGCCAAAACGGACAGTTACGTCACACGGCAGCCAGTACAGGGGTTAGTGGGCTCGAGAGACGGTGACGCCCGGCCTGGAGCAGGACTCGGAGGCTCGGCGGGCGGGCCGAGGCAGACCGGACCTCGGAAGGGGACAAATTTGCCGGCCGAAGATGCCCAGGCTTAGTCGACGCGGCGTCCCGATCACGCACAATAATATTCCGCGATATCCAACGAAAGTGAGCAGCCGCAAATGCTATGAAATCCGTGTGACCTTCTACCAAAGTTCAACTCGCGAAAAAGGCCCGCCGTAAATGTACCTTGCAGTCATAATAGCAAAAAATACCAGACATGGTTCAGAAATATTATACATACAAGCACCCATAATGGAATAAAGAGGTGGGATGGGCGCTTACGGAACAATGCAACAATAAGACAGCGTTGCGCTCGTCAACATACATTCTAGTTCATAACGTAACGCAGAATGATGTCAATTCTGCTTTTGCGCGGAGCTGATCAGTCAAATACTTATTAAACCATCCAGGATGAGTGACCTGAGCCGCTGCGGTCAGGCCGCGTGAACTGGAGGACGGGGGAGGAGATCCTGCTCATCCAGCAGGTCAGGTCCCAGGCTGGTCAGGCCGCGTGGACTGGAGGACGGGGGGGGGGGAGACCCTGCTCATCCAGCGGGTCAGGTCCCAGGCTGGTGACGGAAGTGGCTGGACCCGAGCCGCTGCGGTCAGACCGCGGGAGCTGGAGGACGGGGGGGGAGGGGGAGACCCTGCTCATCCAGCAGGTCAGGTCCCAGGCTGGTGACTGAGGTGACTAGACCCGAGCCGCTGCGCATGCGCACTACCGGCACGAGCCGAGGCAGGGCCGGCAGTGGGACGTCTGCCGTCCCCGCCGCTGGCTCTGGCGGCCACTACAGACAGTGGTGACGGTGCGAGCCGGCGCAGAGGTGGGCGGCAAAGACCAGACCGCCGGCCGGTACACCAGCGCTGACACACACTCTGCTTAGTCTGGCGGTGCAAAGAGGAGTGCTTCACGCGTCACCCGCTAGCTCTGGCAGCAGCTCTGACGACAGCAGCCACAGCAGCCGAGGGGAGTCGGATGCACAGACTGCGGCTGATGCTGCGGACGGAGCCGCCAGCACCGGACAAAATGGATCGTGCGGAGGACAAGACATTAGCGCGGCAGCAAAAACGGACGGGTCGCTCGCTCCGTCCACAGAGCGCGCGACGGGTGCGGCAGCACCAACCTCTACTCATACGGGTAGAACGTCTACTCGTGCCGGTAGAAATCGATACTGACCACGGTTTTTACCTCCTTCACAGCCAGGTTGTACATGATGGCCGTGCCGCGGTCCTGCATGTCGCCGGAATCGGCCAGCAGGGCGTTCACTGCCACCTGGCGGCGACGGCGGCAAACACGTCACGGCACACGCGGGAAGCACGGCCGCAACGTTGCGACCAATTCTTAACAAACGCGCGGGCCGTCACAGTTCTGAACGCGGTTAACGAGTCCATCCAACGGCGTCAGCTGATGTGCATTCTCATTTTCTCACGCTACTCAACGTTCTCGTCGCCAACAAGCGAATGGCGCGCGCTGCAGGGTCGGTGCGCGTTTCGGTGCGACGCGACCGCAACGTATCCAAGGTCCGACGCACCTTCACCTCACCTTCCACTGTGAACACGGATGAGGGCTCATCATGAGGAGCGGCGACGAGCGCACGGGTGGGCCAGCCGCGTCCTTCCTATCCCCCTCACCCCCTCACCTTGACCCAGCCCCAGCCAACCTTCACCACCGCTTTTGACCGGGTGCGTTCTCCCCAGCCTCTCTCTTCTCTCTTCTCGCCTCCCCCCCCCCCCCCACACGCATGTCAGCAGCAGCAGCAGCAGCAGCAACTGCGGCGGCTGCGGCGGCGGCGTACCTTGGTGGTGACGCGGATGTTCGAGATGGGCATGTTGTTGTGCGGGCTCTGCCACTCGGAGATGTACAGCAGCCACTCGCTGCTGCTGTTCTGGTCGAACATGTTGGCGAACTGAAACGGCGGTCGGGCGCGCCGTCAGTCCACCGTCGCTGACGCCGCGGCAGACAGCGAGGCGGACAGCGAGGCGGCAGCGACGTCGTGTGCCGCCGCAGCACCCGCTAGCGGCGGCCCCGTCTGCTCACCGCGGCACCCGCTGGCGGCGGGGCCCGTCCGCTCGGCGTTCACCGCCGTCAGCGGGAGCCAGGCACAGACCGACACCGCACCTGGTGACACTGCTCCGGCTGACTGTCGCTATAGGTAACTGTAGCTGTCACTGTAACTGTTGCTGTAACTATGGGTTTATCAGTAATTCATTCCACACCAAAATGCTTGACTCCGTGCCAAAATATCCCACTGCACACACACACACGCGCGCACGCACGCACGCACGCATGCACGCACGCACGCACGCGGTGCACCCCAGCGCGTGACTGACCACTGGCGAGAGGGCAGGTAGCTCGTCACCTGGCTTCACACGTTAATACATACCCGGTGTGTGCACCCGGCCTCGTGTCTACGCGCCAGACCCACCCCCAGTGGGCGGACAGCATACACTTCTGATGTGTGGGATACCAATAGGGCGCATGTCATATACATCTGATCTAAAGGAGATTCATATATCCCCCGCCTGTATCTGGTCTGTGTAGGGCATGACTCACCATCAGGGACAGGGCGGCCTGTTCATCCTGCGGCAGCCGGTCCACGTCGTCGGCGTAGTTCATGATCACGTGCTCACGCCGGTCCTGTCAGCACGGGGTCACGTGTTGCGGGCTGGTGCCAATCACACCTCAGCCCTTCCAAATCCCTCGGACACGGCGCGAATATCGACTTGAGTAAACATCTCGCACTCACTGCATCCAGCTTATCCCCACTGTAACTACCAGCTGAAACTCGCAATCGTTTGATGAGCAAGCAGTGGCAATGTTCCCAAGTGACGTCTAATCTATAACCCCATCCCATACCAGATCTCAGTGCTCTCATTCATGCCCCAGCCGAAGCGACGGCGGCGGCGACGGCGACGACGACGACAAATACGACGACGACGGCGACGACGACGGCGGCGGCGGCGAGCAGGATGGAGGTGGGGCGGTCTGTGCGGTAACCTCTGTGTACATTGTTGATGGGATAGGTATAGAACATGGATTCTCTGTCTTGAACGATTTCTATTCGGCCGTTCTCGAGAATCAACATACATCGGCCGTATCGACCCCGCCGGGAGCCGGGCGGCCAGCCGCGCTTATGAGGCGATATCGTCCTGCCCGGAGAGGGCGGCGGCCAAGAGACGGTCAATGCCTCGGCCGGGCGGCCGGGCCGCCGCCGCGTGACGTCACCGACCGGCGCCGGCCCTCAGGTGAGCGGCAGCCGGCCAGCGGGCCGGCCCGCCTCCGGCCGGGAGACCGGGGACCGAGACAGGGGGCCGGGGTGGCTCTGAGGAGGCGCTGGTGTTGGCCGGGGGCGCGGACCCGGGCCATCACCATCGGAGCGGCATCATTGGGGCCCGGGTCATCGGAGCAGGCCACCAGAAAGGCTCTGATGCCGGTGATGTGATGCCGGTGACGTCAATTCGGAAGGTGACTGTCGTCGCCTTGGTGACGTCAGGGGATAAGGACATCCACCCGCGTGGGTCACGTCAGGTCAATTCGTGTCAGCTCAGGTCAGCGCACCCGGCTCGTGACCACGCCTCACCCACTGAGCTGGTAAGGGGTCAGCACGCCGCCTCACAGTGAGGCCACAGCCCAGGTCAGGTCAGTTGAGGTCAGGTCACGACGGCGGCCGCCCCGCCCACCGACCTGGTGCAGGATCAAGATGAAGTCGTCCCGCAGCGTCGCCACAGACAGCAGATTGAGCAGGTGGACCCGGGAGGTCGGCGGCAGGGACTTGTCGTGCAGGATTCGACCTGCGACAAACGCGACCCGGTCAGCCCCAAACCTGGTCCGACGCACCGCATACGTAGTAGGCTATCGGTAACGGGTCCCGGAGCCGGCCCTCAGCCGACCTGGTCAGCGGCTGACCGGCGCGGCCGGCCGTGTTCATGCCTACGGGCATTGACCACGTGACCTGGCCCAGGTCTCTTGTGCGGGCCAGAGTGGCTGCAGACTGGAGGAAAGGACGGCGGAGCGTGGCCGGGGGTTGGGTGTGTCCACGAGAGCGACTGTAATAAGGGTGACCGAGTGAACCAAGGTCTACACAAACTTGGTAGGTGCTACCTTCAAAACGCTAGGGGCACGCCTCTACGCCTAAATTGAAGGGGGGAGGTAAAGTGGGCAGCCACGACGGTACGGTTGCTTAATTAATACTCCCCGCTACCGAAGGCAACAAAAGACAGTGACAATATTGAGCCCAAAGATCAGCTTCCGTGACATTCAAAGAGTCGGGACGAAGATGCCCACCCGTAAGGCTTCTGACCGTCAAGTCAGTTTGGAGGTCACATGACATCTCTGCACCAAGCAGGGATGCAGGTCCGACGTCGAACGTCGTCAGGGTTCAAAATAATGTGTCCTCAGGGTTAAAAAATAATGCGTTAAGAGGGTTCAAAAATAATGCGCCACGTATGCCCGACCCGTGGAGACGCTACCATACCGCCTACTAAAATGTCACGACGGAACGGTTAAATCACGGTCAGCACGAGCTGTGCAGTGAGGCTGTGCTACAGCCTATGGCCGAGAACAGAGACGACACGCGGCCGAGTGCAGCTGCCTTCCCAACGCTGGCAACATTACCGCTCACACTGAGTGAAAACAGACAGAAATTGAGTGAAACCCGACTATCCCAATTAGCTTTGCGACGTTACCTTTTCAGCGGCGCCGGTATTCAGCGTACTAGCTTTACGCCAGAAACTTTTCCAACTTAAAGCGTTGAACAGCGTCGCAGCTGTTGGCCGTTGTGGCGTACGACTGACCGAGGAAGTTGATGAAGTTCTCTCCGAGCGCCCAGGCGCCCTCGTCCTCCAGCATGTACTGCCGCAGCTCGGCGACGTTCTGCTGCTCCTCGGGGCTGAGGGCGGGCCCTGCGGCCGCCTCCAGACCGGCGAACTCGGCCAAAACCTGGAGACCGAGGCGTCACAGCCGTTAGCACTGGGACAGACCTTGGCGACCAAGCCGCCACAGCCGTCAGCCCTGGAATAGACCCTGGCGACCAGGCCGTCACAGCCGTCAGCACTGGGACAGACCCTGGCGACCAAGCCGTCACAGCCGTCAGCACTGGGACAGACCCTGGCGGCCGAGCCGTCACAGCCGTCCCCTAAGGTAAGAGCTCCGGTGACCTCACTGAGCCTTCACAACCCTCAACAGGGCCACAAACTCCCGTCACGTCACGACGCGGTTTTACCCGGCCAGCGACCGATGAAGAGGGTCTCTGCCGTCAGCAGAGAAGTAAACCTGATCGAGACTTTGTGCATGTGTGGCCGCTGCTTAGGCGCCTGAGGAACCAAACCCAGTAGTATTCAATTGTACTTTTCCTGCGCGCTATGCCTCCATGAAGTTAAATCAGCACACTCTACTCGTGCCAATATTTGACATCAAAGGCGCGCACCTAAGACGTTCCACAGGCTCATATCTCAATGGGCAGAGCTTGGGCCGTAAGCCAATACAGCACTGTGCATGCGATGGTCGTATTTGCGGAGGCAATACGAAGATACGGCCGGTCTACCCCGCCGGGAGGAATCGGACCAGATGCACGACAATACCGCCGGCTTCCAAAAGATTCTGTCATTGAGTGATGCATGAAACTAATGCCCTCACTGATGCGCTTCCAATGCATGTTAAAACGTCGCCAAATTTGTCATTAGACGCACGCTCGGGCCCGAAATGTGTCGGGCACTTGTCATGGCCATTTCGACCGCATGCCCCGGAACGTTTTACCTAGGTTTGTTGCAGAACGAGGGCCAGCGAAGTGTGAAAAGCCATACACGTGGATGGCACGTAATGCAACGCATACATATTCACATACCGAGCGATGTCGGCGTTCACCGTTCACCGATACCCACCTGCCTGTATCCCACCCGTGACCGCCACCGTAGAGTGACGTCACCTCCGGTGCGCGCCGCGCCCCACAGCGGGCGGGGGGGAGGGGAGGGAGACCGATAAGAGCCACCTTGCGTTGTCGGCCGGGGATATCGGCTCCAGTGCGGCGACAGACGGCCGGCCGGCGAGAGCGTGCGGCGACGCCGCCGTCGTGCACGGCGCCACGGCGCCACACGGCCCTCTAACGGGAGGACCGCGGCTGCCAGAGAACCGGAGCGACGCTGCAGAGGCGCGGCAGCGGACCACACGACGAAACGCCGCCAGACCAGGAGACTGGTGGAGCCCGGCAGGAGCGGTACCACGGCGGCGCAAGACTACAAGACCGGTAGGTGAGACCATAGGACCGGTGTGTGAGACCACAGGACCGGAAGGTGGGACCACAGGACCGATAGGTGGGACCACAGGACCGGTAGGTGAGACCACAGGACCGGAAGGTGGGACCACAGGACCGGTAGGTGAGACCTTAGGACTGGTAGGTGAGACCACAGGACCGGTAGGTGAGACCACAGGACCGGTAGGTGAGGCCACAGGACCGGTGTGTGAGACCACATGACCGGTAGGTGAGGCCACAGGACCGGTAGGCGGACCCGTGGCCAGCGGACTCAGCCAGCGTCAGAAGGACCGGCCGGCACCGAGCGCCGTGAGTTGCGCTGTCAAACGCTTTATTTCGTCCGCATTTGCGAGTTTGGCGAATAGTTTGAACAGCTCACGGGAGGTGTCGGCTTACAACGGATGTCTAAAGCACAAATTTCTGATTGCGATGCCCGGTAGATGATCCAAATCCATTCCCAGGCGTGAGGCGCGCCGGCTTCCCCCAGCGTCACGGCAACGAGGACACCCACGCGGCCGCAGTGGCGATGTTTCCTGCGGAGCGCGCCTGAACAAGCCGACGACAGGGGCGACGCTTTCGCCGCGTGCTGGTGCACGATCGCTTCTCCGGTCGGCGTCGGCACAGACGGATCCGCGGTGCCGGCGGTGCTGATGTCGGGCCGGGCGTTGGTGGCGGCGCACGGCAGCCGCGGCCGACGGCGCCGCTGGCTGCTGCTGGCCGCCGCAGCACCGTCGCTGCTCTACCTGCTCTGGCTGCTGTGGTGGCGTCCCGACCCGGCGCTCGAGGCCGTCTTTACCCCGCCGCCGCCGCCGGGTCGCCGCCCTCCCCGCCGGCCGTGCGCTCGGAGCGCTGGCTGGCCGTGCCGGCGGCGCCGCCGCTGCCGGTCGACGGCTGCCTCTTCCTGCTGGAGACTTCGGGCCGGCGCCGGCTCACGCCGCGCGAGTGGTGCGCCGTTGAGTCGGCGGCGCGCGCGCACCCGCGCCTGCTCGTCGTGCTGCTGGTGGCGGCGCCGCGCCTGCGCCGCTCCGCCCTCGCCGACCGGCTGCTGGCGCGCACAACACGATCGTGGCGCGGCTCGACTTCGGGTCGGTGTTCGCGGGCACGCCGCTCGAGCGCTTGGTACCAGAGTCGCGCCGTGCTGCGCTCGCGCTGGGCGGTGAGCCACATGAGCGTACGCGGTAGAGATTCGCGCTCCTGCTGCGCCACGGCGGCCTCTACCTCGACACGGACACCATCTGTTCGTCGCTCACTGGCCGGTGAGGGGAGAGGGGGAGAGGGAGAGGGAGAGGGAGAGGGAGAGGGAGAGGGAGAGGGAGGGAGCGGGAGAGGGAGCGGGGAGAGAGGGGAGGGGGGAGAGGGAGAGGGGGAGAAAGAGAGGGAGAGGGGGAGAAAGAGAGAGAGAGGGAGAAAGGGCGAGGGAGAGGGAGAGGGAGATGGAGAGAGGAGAGAGGGAGGAGAGGGGAGGGAGGGAGGGAGAGAAGGAAGGGGAGAGAGAGGGGGAGAGAAAGAGAGGGGGGAGAGGGAGAGAGAGGGACAGGAAGAGGGACAGGGGGAGGGACAGGGACCAGGGAGAATGAGCGGGAGAGGGAGAGGGAGAGGGAGAGGGAGAGAGGGAGAGTGGCTGCCGTACGCGGAGAGCGTGTGAGGGCGCGGGGGCAGGGCGGGAGACGCCCGCGTTTCCGTCATGCGGACATGGTCGTTCTGAATCGTGGGGGGGGGGGGGGGGGGGGGCGAGCCTCACAGTCGCCGAGATACGGTGGCGCAACCGCGGTGGTATGCTTTCCGATGGAGGTGGTGGGACCCCTCCTGGGACTGAGGGCATCCGCAACGCATACCAAATGAGCCCCAAGCATATAAAGGCCCCGCGAACTCAACACCAATGCTCCTCTGCGACAAAGTTGGTCTACTGGCTGGAAAGGCACCTGTAACTCGCTCGGCCCCCTCTTGACCCCTTCCTGGCCCTAAGAGCAACGCCACTGTGGAGACGATGACGGCTTGTGTTGTCTGTGGCAATGAGTAGAACGCCCAGGTCTGCATGATCCGCTGACGGCCGCGCCGACCATCAGCAGGGGGGGGGGGGGGGGGGGGGGGGGGAGAGCGCCACCAGCACAGCAAACTTCGGCCCGGCAAGGCTGCAACCGCCTGCTCTGTCTCGAGCGGCACCGTGCCATCCGTCGCTGGGAAACCAGCGCGCCCCCAGCGACCGCCGGACCCAGCGGCGCGGCCTGATCCGCCGCTAGCCCCGGTCAGCCGGTGACCTCCGTCTGCGCTGCCGCCGCAGAGCTGGACGACGGCGCCGGCCTGGAGTCGGAGCACGCGGTGGCGGCGGGCGTGCTCAAGTTCGGCCGCGGCTCGCCGGTGCCGCGGCTGCTCGCGCGCCGCCTGGCGGAGGACTACGACCCGTACGACTGGGGACGCAACGGGCCCGGCGTCGTCACCGAGGTGCTCACCGAGAGCTGCGGTCTCCGGCGGCTGCCGCTGACGGCCTCTCACTGCGGCCACTACATCATCTACGGACGGTGAGAGCGCGGACCACCACATCAGCTACGGACGGTGAGAGCGCGGACCACCACATCAGCTACGGCCGGTGAGAGCGGGGACCACCACACCAGCCACGGACGGTGAGAGCGGGGGCCACTACATCATCTACGGACGGTGAGAGCGGGGGCCACTACATCTACGGACGGTGAGAGCGGGGGCCACTACATCATCTACGGACGGTGAGAGCGGGGACCACTACATCATCTACGGACGGTGAGAGCGGGGGCCACTACATCATCTACGGACGGTGAGAGCGGGGACCACTACATCATCTACGGACGGTGAGAGCGAGGACTACATCATCTACGGACGGTGAGAGTGGGGACCACCGCAGCAGCCACGGACGGTGAGAGTGGACGGTCACTACAGCAGCTACGGACGGTGAGAGCGGGGACCACCACACCGGCTAAGGCCGGTGAGAGCGGGCGGCCACTACACCAGCTACGGCCGGTGAGAGTGGAAGGTCACAACACCGGCTACGGACGGTGAGAGCGGGGGACACTACACCATCTACGGACGGTGAGAGCGGGGAACACCACCCAGCTACGGACGGTTGAGAGAGGGGGGGCACTACACCAATCTACGGACGGTGAGAGCGGGGGACACTACACCGGCTACGGACGGTGAGAGCGGGGACCACCACCCAGCTACGGACGGTAAGAGCGGGGGACACTACACCATCTACGGACGGTGAGAGCGGGGAACACCACCAGCTACGGACGGTGAGAGCAAGCGGACACTACACCAGCCAAGGCCGGTGAGAGCGGGAACCACCACACCCGCTATGGACGGTGAGAGCGGGCGGCCACTACACCAGCTACGGACGGTGAGAACGGGGACCACCACAACGGCTACGGACGGTGAGAGCGGGGACTACCACACCAGCTACGGACGGTGAGGGCGGGGACCACCACACCAGCTACGGACGGTGAGGGCGGGGACTACCACACCAGTTAAGACCGGTGAGAGTGGACGGCCACTACACCAGCTACGGACGGTGAGAGCGGGCGGCCACCACACCAGCTAAGGCAGGTGAGAGCGGGCGCCACCACACCAGCTACGGACGGTGAGAGCGGGAACCACCACCAGCTACGGCCGGTGAGAGCGGGGACCACCACACCAGCTACGGACGGTGAGAGCGGGAACCACCACCAGCTAAGGCCGGTGAGAGCGGACGGCCACTGGTGACGGCCTGCCAAGCCAACAGAGCGAACGGTCGACGCGTAAAAGAGCGTAAGGAAGACTGCCGCCGCCGATGGCGCGGAGCGTCTGCGGCGCCACACTGCTAATTGCCACACGAGGCGCGATGTTCACAGTAGCGAGGATCAACGCGCTGTGCGGTGTTCCGAGCGGGCCTGAAGCGGGAGGTCGGTCCTCTCCGTGCGGCCGTTGTACTGAGATCCAACTAATGACCGCAGGATATGACAGACTGTGTGTGCTATCTGTTCTATGCTCGTGGTGTGCCGATGTGTGAGCCCGACGCCGTCGTGAGCCTTGAATTACATGTGCACCCGTTTCTACCTCCTCGACAGATGAAATCAAAGTTTTGCTTCACACACCGCGCAGCTGCGCCCCGCCTCCGCCCCCGATGTGTTGCCACACCGCCGTCCTGACCCCGCCCCCCCCCCCCGCCACAGGCGTCGCTTCTACGCCATCCCGTGGATCGACTGGAGCCTGCTGCTCGAGCCGGCCGCGCGGGACGCCGTGCTGGAGCGCGTGGACGGCTCATACGTGGTGCACACGTGGGCGCTGTTCACGCGCGCGCGCCGCGTGCCGTCCGGCTCGGCGTACCACCAGCTGGCCGAGCAGCACTGCCCCTGGTCGCTGCAGCTGAGCGGCGCCGACCTCTGACGTGACGCAGCCAGTCTCCGCGCCACGTTCGACACACGTGAACTCGCTGGCCGAGCCCGACCAGCGCCGCTGGGGGCGACAGGGGGGACAGAGAGAAGCGACAGGGAGACGGCAGGAGCGACAGCAGTCCGGCGCCCAACGCTCGCACGCGACGGCTGCTCCCGTCCACAGGC